CTTGTGTTTTCTTAATACTGTTAATTTGCAGTTGTTTTACAAAGATTTAAGTTCTTCCCTTGATTTTCGATACTGATAATGTTTTTTTTTTTTTTTATGTAGTAGACTTATCATCATATTGTGAATTCTGAAGCCGGTTTTGATGTGAGTTTCATTCCAATTCAGGTTATTAGTGTGAAGTATGGTCGTCTAGATATGACAGAGAAGAGAAACAATAAAAATAGGTTAAAATAGCTTTGGAAAAACTATAAAAATAAATTTTAAATATTAACGCGCTATTATCTGTCTTCATAAACCGGATTATAAACTTCAAAAAAAGTTGAACTTTAAAAGTAACTTTAAATTATCTTTAGATTGGTAGAAGATAAATCTGTAAATTACTAAAGTATGTTTGATCTATAATTAAACTTAGCATATTATTTGAAGTCTGAAATAGCCTACTGAATTAGCATTGACATTTGTCAACAATGCTAACCTGTTTTGTGAAATTATTTTTTTATTCGTCTCTACCACTGGGAAACGAGACCCAAATTTATTCCTCTGTGTCACTATCTTTATTGACAATTCCAATGTTATAAATATTACAAACAAGTAATTTACACACATCGAGCTACATATATAATTTCCCTAGCACTCTGCTAATTTCCCTACCATCATAAAATATTCATCCAATGCATGTACAAAGTTACTTTCCGTGTTCCTAACAACAGCTGGGACAGTTGGTAATATTTTATAAGTCAATTCATCTGTTTCCCCAGCTGGAGACACGCCAGGGAAAGTTTTCCCCGCAGGATGTCACGGCCACGTTATTATTGTCCTTAATGCAATGTCATGGAAATACCCAAATGTCACTAAACTTTCCTTGCTCTACAATCTACATGATGTACTAACAAATTTCCCAAGGATTGTAGATATCAAAGACCAACATAAACATGTTGTCAAGATGGTGGCTGATGATTGACTTAGTTGGTTTAGTTTAGGGAAGTGGTTGGTATCACTGTAAAGGTATTTTCAGGATTGTTATGGGCCTACGTGAGTTTCCTATACGAAGTAAAGATTAATAGATATACATGGTGAATAATAAGTCAAGACCTCCAATCTTAATATTTTCCTAAGTAAACATACAGAGATATCCTTTTGGTGGTCGTGCAAACTTGGAAGTTTCATTTTATGATTTTGAAATTTTTGAGTGTGTCCCAAAAATGGGGGAATTAGGAGGTAATTCTAAATTCAAAAAAATCATAAAATTAATCTTCCTGCTAAGTTTGCATGACCACCAAAAGGATGTCTCTGTATAATTACTTGGGAAAATATTACATGGTCTTGACTTTGTATTCACCCTGTATAATAAAATGGTCTGAAGTGTCGTTGCCATTGAAAGAATTAGCCCTATTTATGCTACCTTTCTTAGTTTATAAACTGTTTATGTTACTAAATTTAAGTTCTAAGGTTTGGATTATTTCCATTAATTACCATTGATTTTCTATACAACAATTTACAGGTCTCCAAGCATTATATAAAAATGTTAAAGAATTCGTATGAGAATATTATGCAAAATAATACTGTATACAGGAATGTTCATTTCTGAATTTCAATAAAAGTAGAGTAGCATTTCATTCGAGATTTTAGTCTAAACATTGTTCAACAGTTTTAATTACGAGGATAAAGTAACTTTCAGTTTTGATTCCTCACAAGTTTATAGTTGTCATGTGAAATTATAGGAATATAAACACTACCAGTATATTAAATGGTTTTGTTTGTTACAGAGATTTTCATAAAATCCTAAATACTCTAGTATATTATGTGGTACATCAATATTTTGTTGACTACTCAATTATAAATTATGTTAATTTAAACCTTAGTTAAAACCTTAGTTCTTAGACATTTTCTTGAATATGCCATGCATGTAAACCAGTGTAACGGCAATAAAGCATTCTTAGTCTTATTCTTTCAAGGTATACTCAAAACATTTTAAAGTTTTATTTCACAAGAGGTTTGAAAATTTTACCTGATTTGAAATCCCATCACCCATGAAGGGAATTGTATGAAATACAAATATTTGTCAAGTCTCTAAAAAAGGAGCGACTACAAAATGTATTATCCCATAATATAATTTTCCACAATCATTTTTACAAGCCTAATTTCGTTTTTAACACTCTGATACGTAACTCAAGCCCTAAAAAGAGAGGAAGTGCGAAGGGCCTTGACCCTAGCGTGGGGGAGTGGATCAATTGAAAGCCTCCCCAACTGGGTCTTTGTTGGGCCTTTGTAGGCTAAAGTAAGTTACGCAGCTAGGTTAAGGACATCCAGAAGGTTTCGCGTCTAAAAATATAACATAAATGCGTAACATGACAAAAATCATCACTTGTCATTTTACAATGTTAATGAGCTATTGGAATCTCATCATTGAATAAGGTGGTGACGCAACTTGACGTACTGTGACCAAAATATGAATGAGCCATGAGTGAATAACATATACTCGTAGCTTCGTTACTGCCTAAGACCATTGAATATATAACTCTATCTAAGACTAACTTTCGTTAGCTATATAGCCTTTAGATTAATATCGTATTTACATCATTAAAAAAATCTAAGACAATCAAGTCTAGTTCAAAGCATCAAAAAGCTATTGAGTTTTCAGAGGATTGAACCTGCTAACTTTCAGATTATCAGTTATACAGCAACGTTGCCTTGTTCATTTGAAATGACAATAGTTTTTGTGATTTTTCAGATTCATTAAAACAATGTAACTAAACTGTACATTTAGTAAGAGTACTACTGCTAAATCCAACAAATGGGTAAGGCCCCGAAATTACACGTCTGTGGTAAGACGTTAGAACATTTTTGTCTACGGTTTGAAGTTCCTTACATTGTAAACAAACTTGGACGCACACCAGCTGGCCATTGTAAACCATTCAATTTCTCGTACTTGGTCAACACCGAAAATAGCCTAGAGTCAACAACCATGGAATATAGTTGAAATAATACATTTTCTGATTTGTGAATGGAAATCAAATTATTTGTGTACCTTGCTATACCGTGACACTTTTTATTTTGAACTACGTATTTCAACAATGATCTTTTTTGATCAAAGATTTAATTAAATCGATTTTACTAGTTTCCATTCATTGTGTTTTCAAACCGCCTGTAAGTTTAAGACACTCGTACTATACTAATTTTTTAACTTGACATCTAGTTAGGTCAAAACTTAACTAGATGTCATTCACTATTTGTTTATGATTGGAGTATATATTAATATTAATATGCATGTTAGTTTTGTGATGTACTTTTGGGAGCATCTTCCGCAGAATCGATTGACATTCAGGGAACTCGACATGTAAACAAAGTCACCGTTGTGACTTTTTAGTCTCACCACAGAATACTGATCTCACTGGTATTCTCAGCAGTCTAACGTCATTTGTGTTGAAGTACATCTCTCTATATTGCAATCTTGAAATGCCAAGTCTTGTGAGGAATGTTTTGTCTCGCTTTAAGAGACATGTACTTTTTCCAAGATACAACTTCTACTATGAATGGAGGATATTTAAGATTTTGTTTGCAGGTTTCTCAATATGGTGAAAGAATGTGTGAATCTGGCTCGTGGAGAGTTGGATGCTGGCCAGAGATGTGGACTGGAAACATAATGGAACGTCCGAAATAAGCAGAAACTCTTTAATCTGGAGCCAAGAACCTCAGATCGGCGCCACGAGGGGCTACCACATACCATACCAGCTGTGGGTACAGTCACAGCATTGACTGTATATAGTCAATAGTCATAGTCAATGGTTCAGCTCCCCACTAAGCTGCAACGGGGACGGACTATATGTCCGATAGTTCCATAATTCTTTTGCTGCGGTCATATTCGAGGGTACAGGTACAAGCTCGCAACCGAGAAGTGATTAAGTGGGTGGGAAAAGAACTCCTCTCCGTTGTCTTCTGACACCTTCCATTTATAAGCACTGTTGCAAGAGTAAATACGCCTGTAATAGATAAATTCATAGATTCGTCCAAAAATCTTTGAAAATTCTTGATCGAAATTATTTAAGAGTGTGCTACATTTGGTCCTATCGTCCTACATCCAAAGGATTCATAATCATGTCAGCATTCTAGATTACCTACGGTTTGGTAAGATATACCTAGACCCATATTTTCTGAAGCACCAGCACCAGGTAAAAGTTTCCTAAGGCATAAGTGAATTATTTGGTAACCATTTAACCAATAACACCCGAGTGCAAACTTCTTTTAGTTCTAGATTTGGCTCTTGCTCAAAAGACGATACCGAGATAGTTTAAACTAATATAACAGGTTCTAAACTATACAGTATAGAAATTCTTGATGAATGTCTATTTTCATCAAACCTCAGAAAATAGGCAAGTGAAAAGTCTTAACACCTCTTTGACAAAAAAACTGACAATTCAAAAATTGTGTTGATTGGGAACAAGATTGCCATGATTGTGTTCCACCATGGTTTCACTCTAAATCTGTGATTTATAATCTAGAATTTCCAGATGAAACCGATTGGCTTAAGCATAATGTTTACAGCTTAAAAACCTTCTCATGAAATAAATTGGTATTCTCATTATTGAAGATACAAATACAAAATACAAAATACTAAAATGTTAAATACTAAATTATATAAAATCGTTTCAGGTTTGTCTTCAGCTGTCAACGGCAATTAATTACATGTTTATATTATTGGTTGTGAGAAACCAGCTGTTATTTATTTTTTTTGTAACAAATAACAAACAAAAATTATAGTTAAAAGTCTAAAATTATCTGCACAAAATGTGTTGTATTTCAGAATAAGCCTTTTCAAGTAACACACCAAGTATACAGTACTGCAAACTCCATAATAATCCTAACGAAAGCTCGACCACCATAAGAGCTTTCTCCTGTGTACTGTATATAGATGATTTAGTTATATTATTGTCTACGAATGGATTGTTTTGATTGTTTGAAACATCACCTGACAACAACACTTTTCCAAATCAGTTCATGTTTACAAACATCACAGTCGTAAATTTTCAAACTGTTTACCAGAAAATAAGCACTTAAATTTTCTGTAGTGTGTTCTTCAACTGGAAGGTAAGTGCATGCAGTTTTGACATATTTCAGTATTCAATAAGTTAAATGGAAATTTAGCTTTTAACCTTAGCTTTTTAAATTCTAACAAAAGATTTATAAAATTTAGGGCCTATAAAAACTTTCCTGAAGATTTAAGTACGTCTACAATACTGTGGCGTTGAACATAGTTGAAATTGGCATAATTATTTTATTTGCAGTATTTCAATCGAAATTTCAGGCCTGAAACCGCATCGTACATGACATTACAGAAGAGAAAATGTCTGCGACGACTGATGACATGTCAATAATCATTAGGAAAGTCTGCACTATAATATATTAGGTGTTCCCTAGGGCAAGCCTCTGGCAAGTCGGAGAGCACATTGTTAAAGTGCCATGAGTGGTACTTGAAATCACATAAGGTCTAAAAATAAGCCTTAAGTAGGTACCGTACCACAGAAGATAATAACTGATCATAACATGTCCATGATCAGCAGGGATGGCTGTATAATCCTGATGTGTTTCCGAAAGTAAGCTTCTCGAAGATTGATTGCACATTGTTCGAGTTGCCATGAGTTGTTCTTGAATTTTCCCTAGATCATTCCAAGAGCCAATTAAAAGTGACAGTTCTCTCGATCACTCTTCTACTTGTGGTCTTGATATAAATAATACCTCAGAGATAACAGCTATCGCAAGTTGCAAGTGGCTGTCATTACCTAATACAAGTATGAGTAATGAACTCATCCGGTGCTGTGCTCATGGAATTAGTAAAAGATTACAGTTTTAAAACGTGAAATAATGCGCCACCTGTTCTGTCTGTGTGCACCCTTGGTAATTTAGGATTTATAGTCCATGTAGTAAATTCTCCAGCCTAACTGATAACAATCAACACTTCAGAATAAAAAGCAAAAATAATGTTCACGCATTTTAAGAGGACATTGTCAAACTAGTCTCTCATAGAGTGGGCTGTTAATTCAATTTCTTTTTTAGCTTTCAAAACTCCTCGTTAGTTGATGGCAACTTAAAATATGCTATGGTTTTGAATAAGTCGCCATTTTAGTTTTGAATGATTTCAAAGTTAGAAAATCTGCAGACTTGGCAAATTTCCGATTGCCTAGTTAAATTTTCACTAAAATTTTAATACTTTCCAATTAAATGGTGACCATACAAAGTAGGTATTTTAAGCCAAGTATGAAGGTATAAAACAAACTCTCGAGGAAATTTTTGTTTTGATAACATAAATGCGCTTACTCGTCAGGTTATGTAAATGAATCATTCTCTCTAAATGAGGAATACGAGTATTACGCATAGATAATTTTTTCGTCCAAACTGACAGTGCTAATATGACAGATGTATTTCTGACTCAATTCTACTTATTTATATAACGATAACACAAATTCTGCAGTACAAATTTACATTTCATCGGTATGCTGGTGCTGCCCACGCGGTTATCTGCCACTTTCGCTTCCGACCTTCCGACTACGTGCAAATACTTGACAGTACCACATTAGCTTTTATGATTTGTGAGTGTTTCCTTATTTTGGTTTCCGGTTTCGTCTGTGTTTATATTCTCAAATTCAATTACGTCAAGTTTTCATACAAGAGCTGTCCTTGGAAAATAGATTTGGATTACTCTTTCTATTGTAGGCTTCCATAAAATTTGTCTTTATACGTGTAAGCTAGCTGTTCTGATTTATACACAGTTTTAACTGACTACTCCCGTACGTAGGACGGGCTAGGTTAGTTTATAGCTAACACGTGTTTTTTATTCACTGAACATAAATATTTATAAAAAAATGCTTAACCTAAACTGTATTTTTACAAAGTTTAAATAGTGGCGGCCCTCTTCTGAAAAAGACCCAAATGAACTCTTGTTATACTATATATTTGTCTATTCTGTTTTTTTTTATTATTATTTTAACAGTGCTCTAGTAAAATAAATATTGATGAATGAGGGAACTCATATTATCACACTACATCACATCTCCTTTTAAGATTGAGACGAAACTGGAAGAATTTTATAGCAAACAATGCATGTACATGATAGCACTGACTATATATACCTGTAGGTATATATAGTCAATTATGATAGGTAACACAGAAAACTCAACTAGTAGGCCAAATGCTTTTGTTTTTACTTATTTAACTTTTTTGTTTTCACTTATTTTTTTCACTTTCTTCTGGATCATGTATTGGAATACTCTGAGGTATAACCAATGGTATAACTTAGTTACCTACTGACTAAGACCATTGGCTACATAACCCTAGTGTTATATAGTCAATGCTAAGACTAGCTGAGTCTGGCTAAGTCCTATATTTTATGATTATCAATCAACTGAGTTGGGGACGCCATCTAGAAGTGTATTTTAACCCAAAAACGAGTGAAGGGTGGAATGAGATGAATGAGCTTTGCTACTGACTAAGATCAGCTGTTTCATTATCCAGAATCATGTATTAAAACCCCAATGATCAGAGACAGCTGATTCCAGTTTCGAACCATCAAAACCGACTATTTTCAGGATCAATCAGACAACCTTTTGACTGACCGGCGAGCACTATACTCCAGCCAGTTAAGATATCTGATGATAAAAAAAGCCAGATCCAGTTTCGAAAAATATTTTTTCCCAAGTTTAAACCGGTGACCTGGTCCCTAAGCGAGTGACATAACCATTGAGCATAAAGTACGGTAGATTTCCTCTACCGTACACCACACCTCCAATTATAGACACCGTAAACAGAAGATCGTCCCGATACGATATCGTTGTGTAAGAAGTTATAGTAAAACAAACATTTATACTCGGTGCGGTCTTGCAGGGCAGCCAATATAGAGGCTTGTAGTAGTTGTGTTGTGTTTATGTTGGCAATTGACATCACGCCTGTAACACGTCAGAATCACGTGATAGAGTGAAACATGCAGCATTGGTGATACGGTAGAGAAACGGCTTTGTTATCAAAAACACTCATGATATCTACGTATCTTGAATTGCCATTGTGCATGTGTACTTAAGTAATGGATTGTTATCAGGTACAGTCATAATAAAACAATAGGTTTTACAGGATGTAGTTAATCATACTCATACACAAAATATGAATTCTTAAGTTATTTAATGAGCATTGTAGTATGAAACACAACTTGTAGAATGTGGACAGAAGTGTAGACACGAAGTGGTATTGCTGAAATTGTGGAAACAAATTTGATGAGTTATATCATCAAATTCAATTCAGTTCCATTCATAAAAGAAAACTTCATAAAACATACTTACTAATTCACAATTGAAATCACCGATAAACGCCGATAACATCCATGCGTGTGACATTTGTCACAAAATGAAGACAAGGGCATACTCTATGGCTTTGTACAAATTAGACAGATCAGTTACAAGAATCAGTTCTCCAACCTCTTACAATCAGCTGATCGGCCATATGTTAGTTCTTTTAGTAACCAGTTGTGTTGTAGTCTATCAACGATTACTGAGTAATCACACACAATTGCTGGAATTACTGTAAGTGGGACAGGGTCGGCCGTCGCTACAGTGTAGTATGACCAAGTATGACTCATACATAAAACTACCTTTAGTCCTCGTCTCACACTAGGTAAAGTTGATGTTGGTGTACATTGCCGCATTGGTAGAGTTGGGGAAAGTAGTAACGGACGTTCATTTGCTTCTCTGAGTAAATTTTCTAATCCTTATCCATTCTGCTCTTAACCTGATAATTCCTGGGAATCTCGCTAGTAAGTGGACGTGCTTCTGGCTTCTGGGGAATCCACCAAACCTAAGAGTTGCCCTAGGATTTAAGAAAGGGTGTAGGGAAAATCCACCCTCAACGAAAGCAGATAATCCAAGTGCTAAAAAAATTTTTAATCCTGATTATACAGTAGCCATAATACTTCCAATACCGAACCTTATTTTTGGTAGCTGTATTGACCATTGACCAATGATATGTTGATATGTCTGGACATTCTGGACCATATAACACGACTACAAGATCGCGCCACTCATCCTAGACTCACCCCCATTTCTACTTGGCTTAAAATACCTACTTTGGTATGGTCGCCATTTCAAGTAAAGTAGGCTAAAGTATTAAAAGATAACGTCTGGTAACCAATAGCATACGTGTTAAATACGGCATATAAGGTAGCACTTCCCATGTTACAGCTCAACAAAAATATTTTCTCCTAATTTGGATGTATTGAATCTGTTTTAGAATAGTGTCAATATGCAAACGATCCATATCAAGACTGATAGATCACATCGCGCTCATGGTTTTGATGTTTTTACAGTATAATACCATCTCTTAAATTATACTGACAATTCGAGTTGAAACTCGCAGCTACGTTTTGCAAAGGCCAAGAGTTGCCAGAATATTCCGTACGCGTTTATTTATAATTCGATGATGAAAGGTGTTACGCAATTGAAGATGGTATACCGAGACGCACGATTAACAATCGATCTGAGAAATTTTCATACATTTACCATAGTACCAGTTGCAATGTTTTTTACTCTATGTCCTTAATTCCTCGCTGATGAGCTAATAGCAAACCGCTCGAAACCATGATTACGATAATATCAATATGCCAATGTGTTCGTTTAAGACTATTTCTTGACAAGTTAAACTTTATTTGTCGTAGTAATTTTTATTTAAATTTTGTGTTAACAGTTTTTAGCCTACAATTAACAAGTTTAAACAAAGTTATTATAGCACTTTTAAACCAACGTTTTTTAAAATGTATTAGTAGCTAGTATAAGGTTTGGAGGTTTCAACTATTTGTGCAAACAAAATTGTTTGTTTGTTAATTATAAGGCTGTTTGGACTACTTTACTAAACTATTGCATTTTTGTCTCCTGTTGAATGTTGGTGTCGGTTTCGAAATGGGTTGACCCCCCCCCCCCCCCCAAATGAGTAGAGGTGCCCCTTTCCCAATTAGTAGGATGTTTTGGTACCGGTCACATGAATGGGAAAATCTCTCATACTCATGTGTGGGTTTTGCCGGACCGCGAAGCCAAACAGCTCATTCTGAAGAT